GGTTAAAAAGGTAAATTAAATTTTATGTTTCATGGATTTTAACATGACAAATAAAGAGGTCACAGGGGAAGAGCTATTATTTAATTTAATTTAATTCAATTTTATTTTATTTTATTTTATTTTATTTTTTGAGACAGAGTTTCGCTCTTGTTGCTCAGGCTGGAATGCAGTGGCACGATCTTGGCTCACAGCAACCTCTGCCTCCTGGGTTCAAGTGATTCTCCTGCCTCAACCTCCCAAGTAGCTGGGATTACAGGCATGTGCTACCACACCGAGCTAATTTTTGAATTTTTTTTTGTTTTTAGTAGAGATGGGGTTTCTCCATGTTGGTTAGGCTGGTCTCGAACTCCCGACCTCTGGTGATCCGCCTACCTTGGCCTCCCAAACAGGCATGAGCCACCGTGCCAGGCCCTGGAAGAGCTATTATTAACCCCATTTTATGGATGGGAAAACTGAGGCTCAGAGTGCAGGACCAAGAGATCCGCAAAGCCTGGGGGCAAAGAAGCTGGAGTTGGGCCCTGCCCTGCCCTCCCAGGAACCAGGGTACTGACCGCTTGGCCACCCAGCTTTACCTCAGAGAGATCATCTTGCTCAGGGGTGTTGGAGCCACCACTGTCCTGTTCCTCCAGGTGCACCACGTCTAGGGAGGGACCGAGAGTGAGCACGAGCTGGGGTCTGTGCCTGCTCACCCCCAGTCCCCCTGCGCCCACCAGCCAGCACCTGGAAAGGGGTCACGGGTGAGGCCCAGCTGGCGGATGATGTAGCGGGGGATGTCTGTCTTGACAAGGTGGCCCTCCTTGGCGTGTCCCTCGGCTGCTTCCAGCAGGTGGTAGAACTCCTCGGGGTTGAATTCCTGAGGCAGGGCAGGAGTGGGCTCACCACAGGCTCCCCGGATCCACCCCCCCGCCCCTACCCATGCCCAGCCCCCTCACCAGGCACTCCAGCAGCCTCGCGGGACGTGAGATGATAATAAGCAACTTCTTCACCAGCTGAGTAACAAAGGCCACCTCCAAGCTCTCAGAGCGTTCATAGGCCTGTGGAAGGGGACACAGAGGGACAGGGCTCACAGGCACCCTGCCTCATCCCGGTCCCTCTCTCAGCACCTTGGAGTACATACTGCTGCTATGTTCCATCTTATAGGTGAGGAGACTGAGGCCCAAGCCACACAGTAAAAATAATGAGGCTGGGCACAGTGGCTCATGCCTGTAATCCCAGCACTTTGGGAGGCCCAGGTGGGTGGATCACTTGAGGTCAAGTGTTTGAGACCAGCCTGACCAACATGGTGAAACCCCATCTCCACTAAAAACGCAGAATTAGCCAGGCGTGGTGACAGATGCCTGTAATCTCAGCTACTTGGGAGGCTGAAGCAGGAGAATAGCTTGAACCTGGGAGGCAGGAGTTGCAGTGAGCCAAGATCATGCCACTACACTCTAGCCTGTGTGACAGAGCGAGACTCTGTCTCAAAACAAAAGCAATAACAAACAAACAAACAACAAAACCATAGTGAGACCCTGTCTCTACAAAAAATAAAATTAGCCAGGTGTGGTAGT